GCGACACGACTTCCCAGAGTACGCCACAACCCAAAAAAAAAAAAAGCGGCTATGGTGAGACGGTGAAGTGTTAACCTCTGACGAAATGGAATCTTAATAAATAATGACGTCACTGGCAGAAGGCAATGCCACTAGGAAGTACAAGACTTCTGGAGAAAGAATTAAGCATAGTTTTGTTACAAATAAATGCCAGCCCTGCGGTTTTCATGCCATTGAAACTAAAATTCGGACCATTTTTTCCCTTTAATATACAAATTAATATAAACAATAAGCTTCGAATTAAGCATAAAAATCCCAAGACCACCATCTATTTTGTAATATGACTAAGTTTCACGAAGATTAAAAAATATGGTTTATATGGAAAAGATTAAAAAATAACATTTTGTTCATTCCAAATTTTAAGACCTATAATACAAATTGATGGAGTAATTTGCAAGTGAGAAATTTTTATTGTTCATTACAATAAATTTTAAACCTCTAATGTTAAATGATAATCCAAATCGAGAACAATTGAGAAAAATTTCATTGTTTAGTAGACTCTTGTGTAGAGATGTGTGGATGCAAGATTTTTTTGCCTTGCATCAAACAATGCAACATTATGTTGCATGATGCATTATGCAATTCTGTATAGCTGTATAGTATACTGTGAGCTCTCAAAACCGATATCCACAGAGAACAGATTTTTGTATCATTATTGAGAGGTTATCAGATTAAATCCTAATAAATTATTATGGTAGTTTGCAAAAAGGTGTAACCCTGTGATTTTGTGATGAGGAAAATGGAAAAATTTCAGAGATTTTAATTCCCTATTGATCATAATTTTCAATCAATAAGGTTTATATTTTACTCAAAATCTTTAAAATTCTCCAAGAATCGATAAATCTACTAGAATCGGCTGATTTCATGATCTGCGAACCGCCATAAATTTATATAGCGGATGCGTCTATAATAATCTTGCCAGTGAAATAAAGTGCCTATAAAGCGATTGTTGGTGAAATAATATAGATTAAAATTACATAATAACTTTTATGTGCAATTTTAAATTTTAAGCAACTTGCATTGCATAATGTAATATTATATAGCATGCAACATCGTTTGCATAATGCATATGACACATCTCTACGCTAAATAGTAATTCTAATAGTGATAGGCAGAGCAGAAAGCGGTCTAAATTTTTCAGAATTGGCAGCATTATACAGAATTATACAGATCATGAAACTAGGTAACAAAAACATGGAAAAGACAGTCTAGACCTATTTTGTGTACTAACAAAAGTTTAATTTTACATGTAAGTACGGCCCTAAATTTAATAAAAACTAATAGTAATGCTAATTAGGTAATGATTTCGGATGCTGTTGGCAAAATAGGCATTGCAGATGAAAGAAATTCGTTTTTCATTTCTGCAGATTTTAAGGCTATAAATTCTATAGGTTAAATTTCTGCTCTTAAAAATCCCAAATTCAAAATTAAGAATTTACATAATTTATATGAACCAAATATGCAAATTTCATCAATGGCAAAGACTATAATGTTAAGTTGGACGTCGTCAATAAAATCGTTGTGCGTATGTATGTACGGTACGTACTTAGGGTATCCAGTATATTATGTAGATCAAATTAATGTATCTGGTAAGAATGTACAGTATGTACGGTGAGAATTCTGTAATTTTCGCAATTTTTTGAGGTTTATATATTATTTAGGAAATATTTATCTATATAAAGAGATTGTTTCCTGCACTGTACGTACGTATTGTAACGATCACAGTAAAATTTAGAGATGCGATCCGAATCTATTTGTCGTCGTCAAATTAAAATAGCTCAAAATTATGCCTGTATTTTAAACTGATACTGTAGCGCGTTTTTTATTCATTTAAGAATTTTCAGTAATATAATAATTTTCAGTAACATGTTATAATTAGACGTGACCTATTTTTATCATTTTGTGTAGCACTATGAAATTTGATTATCAACGTAATTCAAATCGATGGGTAATTCAAATTGACGGAACAGAAAGTCCTTTGCAGCAGATAAGTCCTCAAATGGTAATTCAAATAGAATGAAGCAGAATGCAAGAGAAAAATTCATTTCAGACCTTAAAATAGTGATCCACTATTTCTATAGTTATAGATTAGGAATTATCTTGTATATACGTAAAAGATTGAAAATTATTATAAATACAACTTCAAAATTTTGAATTAAAGAATTATTAAACCTCAACTCAATATAGTGAAATTCATATAGTATTTCCACGACATAACATTATAAACTATAGTGGAACATTTTTTTTCTCATTCTACTTCACAATAACAAGAGTTTTACGCATTATATACATTTATATATATATATATGTATATAATTTTTTTATTAAAAATGAATAATAGCACAAGCATACTCAACACAGCAGAACAAAGAGTGGTACTCAATTTTGATTTTAAAAACAAAGATGAAGCGGTTCGATTATTCGCACAACTTTTACAGCGCTGTAGAGATTTAGAAGGTGAAAATAAAAGGTTGCTTATTCGAATTAATCAGTTGGAAAAAGAAAAAATGGTGAATGTTGCTCATCAATAAGCTCAGACAAGAAATTGTTACAAACCTTTCAGGATTTGATTTCCCTCAAAAATTAATTGAGGATGCCAAAATTTATTTAGAGACGACAAATTTTGTTAGTGCTTTTGAAAGTGATATTTACGGTGTAACAAGTGGAAATAACGGTGTAACAACTGGAATTGCTATAAATAACGGTGTAACAAATGGAATTGCTATAAATAATAACGATGTAACAAGTGAAATTGAAATTAACAATGAAATTAAAAGTGAAATTAAAAGTGAAAATAAAAGTGAAATTAAAAGTGAAGCTACTACTAATAAGTAAATATAAGCTCTTATTTTTATTTTTTTTTTTAAAAAAATATGGTTTATCTAACTTTACTTTTCTTACTGATATTGTGTAGTTTTAGTTTTGATGCGCTAAAGAGATTTACTGTGCAAAATAAATAATTATTTTATTATATAAGGATAGCTGCACAGCTCATGAGACCAGTATGGTAATATACTATGAATTATTAATAGGTTCAGACTAAGTATTGAGTAGTATCTGATGACATATTTATTTGTTATATACTTTACAGAAACCTATGTTTTTTACTAAATATGTTTAAAATATAAATATTATATATTTACTATATTATTATA